TTGCATCATTCACAGAGTCGAATGAAATACGTTACATAATTGTTAGTTAACCTTTAAAATAACTAAATAGGGGTTTCAACTTTTCTACAATATCCGATTTTAAAAAAAGATCTTTATTTTACTTACTATCTTAGTTAGTTACCTATAATCTGTCCATCTATGGAAACTACATTAAAATCAGTAAGCAAAAGAATTTTAAAAATATCCGATTCGTGTTTTGTTACTATTTACTATCTTACTACATTTATATATCCGATTTATATTAAACCGCGTCTCGGCAAGCGTAGTGTACGACGCCCACAGGCCAGGTCGAGTGACGTTTGCGCAAGATGGCAGGAAGGAGTTGGATGCGAGAAGCCCAAAATTTATGTAAGTGGCGTCCAATAGGAGAGGCGTATGGTCAGCAGTGGACTGCGATAGATGATTCATCCCATTTAGGCGATGGGGGGGGGGGGGGGCGATATCACTCACTATTAGAACTGGTTTATAGAAGATAAATAGTAATAAAAACAACTGATTTTTTATAGATCGTATCTTTATTGTCACTATTAATCCTCCTTGCAGATAAGTTATTGCGGAAACTAATTCTTAGTCATACGAGTACTCAATGAGTTCAAACTCAACTGCAGTGTACTGGAAGTTTCTTGAGTGGGTGGTGTCTAGGGTCTTTATGTGAAAGAACCCTTTTGGTTTTGAGTTGATATTATATTGAGTACTTGCTTTTGCCCGCCCGCGTGTGTGTCACTTGTCGCAGTAAAAGTAGTCTATGTCACTCGCTGATATTATAGCTTTCCATTCGGCGTGAAAGTTTAAAAAACAGACAAACTCATTTTCACATTTCCATATTATAAATGTAAAAGAAAGAGAAGTGAAGGGAAACTGATATTGTTTGTTTGTTACCTTTAAACCACTGAACCGATTTTGCAAATTCTTTCACCAATGGAAAGAATATAGAAATAGAATAGAATAATCTTTCTTGTACACCAATTCAGGATATACGTACAGTAGTTTTCCAAGTTAATGACCATTACAAATGGCGGCCTTATTGCTAAAAAGCAATCTCTTACAGGCAACCTTTGGATGGACAAATAGACTGTAAATAGGTAATTTCATGGGCAGCTACATTATCAGCGAGTAACATTCTTATCATTTTACTGCAATAACCGTCAAAGCTAGTATAATTTAAGTATGGAAGTATGCATTTTATCTGCCTACCCCGGACCGTATCAGCGTATGTATAATATTAAAAAAAAATAGTTGTTCCTTGTTAATACGTATTCTGACACACTTCGACAGTTCTATTATAATTCGTATATGATCTGCTTAAGCACAATAATCGTGCGCATACATTTATTTGTAAACGTGATTAGATTAGCATTGATAAGGATTTAATTACGCCTTATCTTTCCTTGTAATCTCTTCTGTTACAAAGGCTTATACTTCTGGTTTAGACACAGATAAATATATTATTATTTAAGTACTACTAGATTTTACGTCAATTATCGCTTTAAAAAGTAGCCTATGTTATGATAATGTAGCTTTCCATTGGTACATTTTTAGAATCGGTTTTTAGCCCAAGAACCCTTTATTAGAAAGTCTTTGATGATCCAATCACTTATCAATTTTACGCGATCATGTCGTGTTTTATAACGAAAATAGCTGTTTATTTTATTAATATAAATTTAATATCAAACGTGGATGGTGCTCTCGTTCAATGATAATATTTATCGGAGCAACTACAAACTACCTTACATAATAAAAATAATTTGATTTATTTATATTAGATGCCAATGGATTATAATTATAGTGTTTATACTTAGTGTAACATGTAAACACGTGCTCGAACATTGCGGCCTATAAAAACGAGCTGCATTGCGCATACTCGGTCATTCTCGCTCCAGCCGTCGGGCTGTATATAATAGAGTGACGTCATTCTATTTAAAAACAACCCAGACATCGGTCCTCCGTCATATTTAATTTATTATGGAATGAACATAAAACTTAATGTATGAGGGTTTATTTTGCTTATGTCAAATTAGTTAAAGCTAGCTAAAAATGTGGAAATAGTATTGGTAAATCAGACTGTTTTGCTGGAGACTTTCTTTAGACTCTAATTTTACAACTGAATCTTCATAACGGAAAGCTTTTGGGCAGACTTTGTTTTGCGGTAAAAAAAATATAAATAAAAAACACGCACAATCACGGATTAGTATTTATTAGTTACTTCCGCATCATCATAACCATTTCTTTTTGTTGACGAGATGGAAAATCGACTTTGCGTTGAGACACCTATGCGGGGAAATCTTCCAGGTGTGTACTGGGCGGAGTCCCAGCCAGCTGGCTGCCAGTACTGTGCAGCTGCACAGTGCTGACATTGTGCCGTCTCCTCGCGTCCAATCCAATTAAGGTACTTACCGAAGCAGCCATGCCCAGTGAGTAGATGCGTCAGTTCCCTACCTACCCCAGCTTCGAGCATGATGGCGCGCATAAAGCGGCTGTTGCAGTGCGTGTCGGTGAGCGCCACATTTCAAGTGCCTCCTGTTATTCCCCGCTCTCACCCCGACGGATCGAAGTCTGGTTATAGACTCTAGCGACTGCTGATTAAGTAAGGAGTAGAGTTGGGTCTCCGGTTACGTCCTATTTGCTCGGTGAAATGGATCTAGAGAATTTTGAGCCCGTGGTATCACGCCGATCGAGTCTGGTAATATGTACCAAAGCATGACTTTTCTTTTGCCTTTTCTTGCCAGAACTTAATAAAAATACTAAAGTATACACTCTTTCAATTAGAAACAGAATTTTATCAAAAAAGTAAAGATATCGGTTCATTCGAGCTTAACCCAGTGATAAGTTATCCATGATAGTAATCATTATAATACAGGTAAAAACTCACAAAACAAACAATACACGAATTTGATAAGGCTTATAAACTACCGTTAAAAAAAATACCACACTCTCTGCACTTTGCCGGCCTTTGAGTGCCACAAAATTTAGAGACCTCTGGTAACGTCACTACCTCAGTGAAAAGCAAAGAACTAATTACCAAACATTGGTTTTATATATAGGTATGTGTCATACGTAGAAAAAAAAAACAAAGTATTATAACAATGATGAACATTTTATTTTCTTTTGTGGAGGAACGCTTGTCATGTCAATGAGTTGATGTTGGGAAGTTGTATATATGCTAATCGGCGAGAGAATTCTTCATATTGCGATACAGGTTTAGCAATTCTCATTTAGGAGTTACTTCGTTGTTCGGTGTGTCTTCGTTAGATGGCTCTGTAGTATGTTTCTGTTTCTTTGTATGTCGCCACATCTTACACAAAGATTAACTTAAATTGAATAACTTAACTAAAGATACAAAATATTTATTTAATGTTAACCTTTGTGAGAGACTGGTATCTGGAAGATTCTGTTATACAGATTACCAGGCTTTTCACATGTATCAAGTCTCAGATAGTGTAAATAATATGAGCAGAAGTAGGAATAATAAAATAAATACAAGTACATAATAGATCGAAGAAATTGACTTTTCGTATTTTGTATGAATAAAATTGATAAAAAATCTCCTTGGGATGTATGTATTGTAATTTACTGTTTGTATCTGGTTGTTTTTTTCCCGACTAAAGAGTTGGTTAGTTTCCCTGACCTTACAAGTGTATATTGCGTACACAAATAATGGATGAATATTCATTTATATTATTCGTGTTTTTTACTTTAACCAAACTTTTTTTTTACTAGAGGAAATCCCGTCGGGCCGGTGGTGTTTGGATCCAGGAACTGGTGTTATTAAGACATCAGGGCCCCTCCTAGCGCCTGCCTGCAATGGCGCGGGCACCCCCTTGGGATACAATCTCCATTTAGACAACGTCCGGCACACGCGGACGACGTTATGGCAGGTGGAGAGGAAAACCTGTCATGTTCACCACGGCCACACTCACGTTCGGCGGCGAATTGAGTCCGAGTGGAGATTATCTTGTTTCCCTTCAGTTTAGAATAACACTTGAGCTGAAGTCTCCTTCACGGGTCTATCTAATTCTTCTTGGCTCTGTCTGACACCTATTTGGCAGGACGTTTTATTTACTTTGAAAAAGAGACTCCGTCAGATCGAAAACTAGTCGGGCATTTGTTGAGTTATTTCATTTACCTCTAATAGACTTATTTACCTTTGTTTCGAGCTCTGGTTACCCTTTCAAGCGCCTTTAGGCCAGCGCTCATGGAAGCTGTAAATCAATATGTGCGCCACAGTGCCTAGTGCGTCCCGGCGGGACGGGTGTGCCTCTCCCGTTCCCTTCCGCCGCCTCATTGGCGTACGTTACTTCTTACGTTACGTTCTGATCATAATAATTATGTTTTAAGAATATTTTATTTAATTATTTTTTAAACTTTATGCACTTTTGTTAATAAGCAGACTTAATGCCCAGGACATTCTCTTCCAGTCACCCTTTGGATGGTGTAGAAATCTTGTAAGGTGCACAGAGGTTATATAATATTATGTAATCAATGAAAATATACACCGTTCACTACACTATAATATTTAAATGTCATTCATAAAACTGAAGATTATAAGTTTTCTATCAAACCAATTTTTTCTTTTTGCCCCGCACCACCAATCTGTGGAACTGGTTATCGTCTGGGTAATTTCCGACCGATACGACCTTCAAACCATCAAGAAAAGAGCGTACTCCTTCCCAAAAGGCCGGCAACGCGTTTGTGACTACTGAGTTGCAGACGTTCATGGACGGCGATAATCATGTCCATCAGGTGACCCGTCTGCTCGTCTGCCCCCTCTAACATAAAAAAAATTGTTATTTTTCATTAAAAAATATTTACAATTTGATGAAAAGACGCGTCAAACCCGATCGCATGTTACGTAATGTCATGTTTTTTTTATCTCTAGGTAAATCAAAATTATCAATGAAAAAAACGTAATGTCACTGTTTAAAATGAACAAAAATTGAGTACAACTTACTCCATATAAACTTATTGCGAAGGTTTCTAAAATGAGTATAAAAGTTTTACACTCTTCTATGTCTGATATTATGTATTATAGTGAAGAGTACAGTATCCTTGCGATAGTCCTCGCAGTGATGACACGCAACAATGGCACTGGCCTATACGACACCATCCGTACGACGAGGTACTCGTCAAAACAGCTGGTCAGCACGTGTGACAGCAGAGATGCTGAGCTGCTTCTCCAGCCAATCCTTTACGGTATGTCTTACCGCCACAATTGTGGTATGCATTGAGTTCGGAAGACCAGGACGAGCTTGAAATGCAGCGGAACGCTTACCGACAGGCACTGGTGCAGTGGCGGCGCGGCTGGAATAGCCGTGGAATGTGCGCTAACGCGCTGTCGGTGCTGTTCTGCCTAACCTCGAAGCTTGGGTAGGTAGGGGGTGAGGTCACATGACCTTCCGACTGACGCTGGTACTCACTGGGCATGGTTGCTTTGACCTGAATTGGATTGGATGCGAGGAGACGGCACAATGTCAGCAGACTCCGCCCAGCATACACTGGAAGACTGCCCCGCATGGACAGATGAACGCGAGGTTATAGTCGACCAAATCGGATGAGACCTGTCCCTGCGAGCAATCATTGATGCCATGCTGGATCGTTAAGAGGGCTGGTCTCTTTCTGTGAGGCTGTAATGCTCCAGAAAGAGACCTCTGAACGGAATCGGTAGAGGGTCACCACAAACATCACATACTCCTGGCTCCTGCGTCCTCCAGGATCGGAGTCGGAGATCCGAAGGGATTTTCCACAAAGTCACCAAAAAAAGGTGTCACTTGGTTCGGTGTCACTCAATATTTACTTAAGACGTATTTAACATATTACTATCAGTATTTTTTTTTAAATCATAAACTTATATGAAATCAGGCGTAGATCTATCAAATAAAATAGATAATAAAAAAAAAGCACAAATCTAATCACTGTGATAATTGGAAGAGAGTTTTGCTGTTATATTTTATCACGATAGAGTTTAGTTCAAACTTTTAGGAAATCCCAAAGGTCGCGGCTTAAGTCAAACATTTATTAGCATGAATATTTAATTTGATTTGGTCTGGGTGTTTCAATATATAATATGTATGTATTTACAAAATCAGAAGTATACAAGGTGTAAGGGACATCGTATCGAATACTGAAATAGTGTATTCAGACCATGATTCTGAGTCAAAAATCATTGAAATTTTCTGCTGTAAAATTCATCTTTTTTTTTAATTTTCCATTTTTCTGGTAAAAATGATAAAAAATGATGTAACAATGAGTAGACAGAACATTAACAATTTAATAAGTACAAAAAAACTGCAATGTAATTAACCAAACAGCCAAAGCGCTGGTGACCTCCCCTGCGGGCGCCATTTCGTGTTAGTGTGCGTAGACTGTTTGCACGGAATACACTTGTAGTTATTACTTTTGTGCGATACCTATGGGGAACGACCTTAATCTTTGACAGCTGATTGCATAAAAAAAATAATTTGCCGGCAGAAAATTCCAATTATTTTCGACTCAGAATGATTGTCAGAATACACTATTTCAGTATTCGTTACGACGTCCCTTACACCGTGTATATGTATTTATATCAGTTGTCTAGTACTCATAGTACAAGCTCCGCTTAGTTTGGGACTAAATGAAGTTATCTGATTGTGGTAGAATAATATTATTATATTATAAATCCATAATCGATCGATGACTTGGCGCTTCGAATGTAGTGATCTCTGGCAAACATATGGTCGGTTTAATTTTCGTTCTGTACAATATGAGTATGCATGCTGTTGTGAACTTTGTAATAATATCTCAGTACAGGTTATGTTTAGTATTTTCTTTGTAAGTACAAGTGTAAGAATTAAGATAAGACTGATAATATAATTTAGTGTTTCACAGGTACCTACAGTAAAATATCAAGTAAGTAAAAAATATTAATCAGCTGTTTGATACTAATCTACAACGTATAAATTATATGTTATGAGTATCAGTAGACATAAAAAAGTAATATACCTTTTTACGTTATATTATTGCACCTATGTTGTTCGACTGCACAGATGACGTAGTGGTTTAAGCGGTCGCCACGCCGCTTCCTACTACGACGTACGACACTTTGTGTGATGCACAAATTTTTGTTCTGAGTCTGGGTGTTCTTTGTGTCCGTTTCATATATGTTTGTAAAGTCCCACGCGACACAGGATAAACTCCTAATGCAGGAGTTGTCTTTAAAAAAACTTTTTTATAACAGAACACATATAAGTGCGATAAAATTATATAGGTATATGTGATTATCTCCAATTCATAACCATGAACAAGGTCACCAAATCATGAACCAGATAACTACTTAATGTATTATGAAGCTTATTATCAGTAATAAAATGACAACGGTCATGGTATAAGATGTCATCGAGCAGGATAGTGGCTAAATGCTATTCTAGAAGTATTGATCCCTGAATCGAATGTTTAATTCTTCTAAAGAGCAATCGTTCAGTCATATAAGAACAACGCACTCGTTATGACCTACAACAGCATTCTAGTAGAGCTGTTAATCCTAAGCTTTAATCTAGGAAAAGGCCATGGAATAGCGATTTGAGATCCGAAACTTTTCAGGCAGGTAACACTTACAACGATGACCCAACTGACCATAACAGAGATGGATCGTACACAGAAGCAACTGAATCAAACTCAGCAACTCCCTAGTGAAGGTTTCTATGTATAATTTCTGTTTTCTAAAGTATTACTTCGAGGACGAGGAGAACAGAAGAATTCAGTTGGGTTTGGCAGCATTTGGGAAGCTAAGTCGATTCTTCTCATCGTCGATCCCACAGTGCCTTAAGAGGAAAGTCTTCAATGAGTGCGTCCTACCCATCATGACATACGGAGCCGAAACGTGGTAACTTACGATGCGGCTGGTCCACAAGTTCAAAGTCGCTCAACGTGCTGGTGAAAGGGCTATGCTCGCCGTTTCTCCAAGGGATCGCATGAGAAATGAGGTGATCTGGCAGAGAACCAAGGTCTCCGACATAGCCTACCGGCTCAGCAAGATAAAGTGGCAGTGGGTCGGTCATATCAGCCGCAGAACCAACAACCGTTGGCGAAAACGAGTTCTTGAGTGGAGACCGCGTCTCGGCAACGTAGTGTAGGACGCCCACAGGCCAGGTGGAGTGACGATTTGCGCAAGATGGCTGGGAGGAGCCGGATGCGAGAAGCCCAAAATCACTTTTATATCAAACCGAGTTATTTTTAGAAAAAAGCAAAATGGTTCAAATCATCATCGGCCCGGGGTTAATAATACGGTTGTAAGTAAATTGATTCAAATACCGATTTAGGTCTTTAATACAAATCTTCTGTACAATCAAATAAAGTTGAAGTGTCCGTTTGTAATGTCAAAATAATAGGTTTTTTTCATGCACACACGGTTAATTGCACGATACCTATGCAGTTTTTTTTGTCTATCTGTGTGTCTGTCTGTTTGTTCATCATCATCATGTTTGGTCATCTAAACAAAACTAAACGGTTTAACCGATTTTAATTATATTTTACTACCAGGTACATAAGGAGTTACTTAGGCTATTTCTGCTCTCAGAAAAACCCTTTAAAGTTTTGCCCGGTCCGGGAAACGAACCTCCTAAGGCAGCGCTTTTCAAATTCCACGCGAACGAAGTCGCTGGTACCAGCCAGTAAAAAATAAATCTTAAAATTGTACGAAACACGAGTAGGTAGGAAACTCACTAGAATGGTTACTCACCTATATCATATAAGAGACTGCTAAATTTCTTTTTTAGATTGTGTCCTTAAAGTAAAGAACTGAATAAGATTAAATCATGTAATCAAAAAAGGAAAAAAAATCACACCTCTCACTACGTAACACTAAATTTGAAAAGGTATCGTCCATTAGGGATATTGGTGTAACATTGGATAGTAAACTTACGTTAGATAAACATGGTAAATAAGGGCAAAGATTACGCAGGACTGTTGATGATGATGATGATAAAAATGTAAAAATAACATTAATGTGACCGACACAAATGCTAAATAACTTACAGCAATTAATTACAAGATTAATGATGATTAATTTATTTAATAATCGTTAATCTTTTAAAGAAGACTTATTGTGAAATATGACCTGATAATTCAAACTTGTCAGCTCGGAGTACTTTATCATATTTGTACTAATAAGTATTTATATATAAATTGTTTTGGACCGTGACTCCGACTCCATTATCGCGGTATAAAGTTATGTTACTCGCTGAAAATGTGAGAGAATTTTTAAAATCGGTTTAATGTTGTAGGCTTGAAAGCGTAACAAACAATCACTTTCATATATATACTAATATTATAAAGCTAAAGAGTTTGTTTGTTTGTTTGTTTGTTTGAACGCGCTAATCTCAGGAACTACTGGTCCGATTTGAAAAATTCTTTCAGTGTTAGATAGCCCATTTATCGAGGAAGGCTATAGGCTATACATCATCACGTTAAGACCAATAGGAGCGGAGCACCAATGAAGAATGTTTCAAAAACGGAGAAAATTTATTACTATTGAGAGACGCAGACGAAGTTGCGCGGGTCAGCTAGTTAATAATATTAGTATGGATTAAACAAATAGGTATGGATATGAATGTGTTAATTTTTATTTGCGAACGCGACATTTAACGATAGTTTTGTGGTAATAATGATTAATTTACTTTAATGAAATATTTTATTTTCGCTTGTTTCATTTATTATATTACTTTTGAAGTCATATTTTTTTGGTTCTAACAAATATGGTTCGTTGCTATAACGTCCGTTCCATCATGCACCAGATCTTATTAATTGTTATATAAATAATGGTTCAAATTAATTGGGCAACTACTAATTATTTCTATACAATTAAATTTTTATTTGCGTTATCTATAAAAATCTTTAACTTAAAATAAATTTTTTTATTTGAAGTTTAATGCAGATGTTGTATATAGACGGACTTAATGCCATGGGGCATTCTCTCCCAGTAGACCTTCATCTGATGTAAAAACATTATGCGCTAGGTGCAAATATAAAATAATAAAAAAATTGGTTGCCTGTAAAGTCGGTATACGGGCGAAAGTTTTACGTGACAACGACTTTGAGTGGTAAAATAATTTTAATGTGAATATTCATTCGTATAGTAGGAAGAAGGATGAAATAATAGTAACAATTTAAAACATTTATTTATACAAAGAATTATTTATGTCTGTCTCTCTCGCTCTTAGGCGGGCTAACCATGCCCGAGTGGAAGGGACGCGTG